ATGCAATAATATATGAAATAATATAAATAAAAACAATAATATTTTAGATTCAATTGAAAGGAAATTTTGCCGAAAGTGAATAGAAATGAATAATTGTATTCAGTATTCAAATGTGTGAATGAAATATGAATTTCTATATCTTTCTAATGTGAATACATTTCTTATAATATTATTTTCTATTCTGATATAACCTGAGGTCTAAACCTCTTTTGATCAATAACTGTGACATTATCTTAACGCGAGTGCAAAGTATTTTAATAAATAACATTTTGAATTAGAGTTGAAATACTAAATCAAATAAATTGTTTGCATTTTAGGTGACAGTAAGTGATGAGAAGCACGAAAGCCAATTGATTCACTACACCCTCTCTGGACATGGGGTTGACATGAAGAAGAGGTCCAGAAGTAAATTTGATATCAACTCGACTTCGGGTGAGATCTACGCTCTGCGACCACTGGATCGAGACCTGCCGTCAGGTCGACCCCAATGGACGTTAGCTGTGTTTGCGGAGGACGAGCGCACCCGTGGTCTCGTAGGCTATGCCGATGTGATTGTTAATCTCAAAGACATTAACGACAATTCACCCTATTTTGCGTTCACACACTACACGGCAAATATTACTGAAAACGCAACGGTCGGCCACTATGTGACTACATTGACGGCCATCGATGTGGACGACCCTAATGAGGGCGGAAACGCCAAAATCACGTATACTATAGAAGACAATAAAGTGAACGATAGGGGAGACCTTATATTCTCAATCGACGCCCAATCGGGAGTTATTAGGACTGCTGTTTGCTGTCTCGATAGGGAAACTCATTCCGAGTACACCATTAAAGTAGTCGCCACTGATGGTGATGGACTTAAGGTATGGCTAATATGTTACTTCCTTTCATGAAATTTATTCAAAATATAGTTACAAATAATAAATAAATTATTGAAATTAATTGCAAATGTTGTATTAGTCGGCCACAAGTGTCACCATAACAGTGACTGATGTGAACGATATGCCCCCGAAGTTCAGCAAAAAAGATTGGTTCGTAGAGATTGATGAAATGGATGTGCGGAACAACACCGAAGACTTATTAGTGCCACAAATGCCTATTCTTATAGTGACAGTGACTGATGCAGATTTGTTTGAATCAAATAAATTTATGTTCAAAATAATTGGTAAAAATGCCATTAATGAACATTTTTCATTGACTGCTAATTCCGATTCAAGCGCTTCCTTAAGAATTGTTAAACCATTAGATTATGAAGACTTAAGTCAAAGGAATATTAATTTAACAGTTGGTGTCAGTGATAATGGATATAATTTCAGTGATACATATCATACGGACTATTGTGTAATTCATGTGCGTTTAAGAGATATAAATGATAATTCACCGCAATTTGTGAAATCAAATATTGAAGTGAATGTCAGCGAAGACACAAAACTCGGGTCTATTGTCACCAAATTTCACGCAACAGATGCCGATCAGAGCGGACTTTCTGTCATTAGTTACCGAATAGACAGGGATTCAGACAAAAGGAAACAATTCTCAATCGATTCCAACGGAATCATACGATTGGAGAGAAGTCTGGATCGCGAGAAGCAGTCGACACATAAACTGGTCATTTGGGCCACAGATGACGGAATGCCTGCCAAGTCGTCGACCGCAACACTAGTCATAACTGTCGACGACGTGAACGATAACGCGCCGACACTTATAAACGACTACTTGAGTACAATTCTGGAGAATTCTTTACCACAAAGAATCGGTGAAATATTTGCCACTGATTTGGATGACCCGTCCAAAGGAAATGGTCCGCCATTTACCTTCAAATTAGATCCAAAAGCCTCGGATGTGATTCGCGAAGGCTTTAAAGTACAATACGACCCGAACGGAGAGGGAAAGGCTATTATATACTCGCGGACGACGTTTGACAGAGAGGTAGAGAAGGAATATCTGTTACCCATTGTTGTCAAAGACAATGGATTTCCGGCGCAAACGGCGACCACTACTCTGACAGTTGTTATCGGAGATGTGAACGACAACCACATGAGGAACGGGTGGAAAAGGATTACAGTTTTCTATATTAAAAATAGTGATTCGAAGAGAAGACAAATGACTCAAATAGGAAGAGTGAATGTGGACGACGAGGACGACTGGGATGTAACAGATAAGACATTCTTCTGGTTCGACCACAAACCTGAAGCCAACTTTGATTTAGACTCCAAGACTGGTGTAATAAGTATGAAAAATGTGACGAAAGGTGATTATGAACTCAAGTTTACGGTATTTGACCAACACTTCCGACAAGAAGTTCAGTCCAAAGTCTGGATAAAAGTGAAGGAACTTCTAAGAGAAGAAGTTCTTAACTCAGGATCCATAAGAATATCCGGAATAACAGCTCTTGAGTTCATTTCTGTTTGGAATTGGAAAACAAGACAACAAATCAAAAGTCTTTACGAAAGGATGAGAGACTCCATCAGACGAGTCATCAGATGCGATGAAATTGAAATCTTTAGTCTTATTGAGAGACAGGAGAAGCCTCTGATTATTGACGTCAGATATTATGCAAAAAGAAATTCATTGATTCTGTCGTCAGTTTTCCTCAATTCAGTGATTCTCCAGAATAGAGGGATACTTGAGAACGAGTTAGAGGTAAGACTCACTCTTTTGTCAATTTATTTTGATATTTAAATCTTATTTCCCCTAAATATTTATATCTCTTTATATTGATTTTTCATGATGAAGTACTGTATTATCCTTACTCAAAATTAGTGTTGTTGTTATTTTAAAGAGTTTTATAACTGTATAATACAACTATGCTGGATATGATTTTTTACTCTTAAAGAATTATGTCATAATAATGTTTATAATCCTCTAAATAATCTCTGGGATTTACAGACTGAGAATATTTTAAAGAATCAGAAACTTTTATGCAATTACTTTAATAATAATAAAAATTTCAGGGAATATTTGATTAAATAGGAATAGTTTTAAACATTCAAATGAATTAAATAGAGTCTGAAAATAATGTCTTAAATGAACAAAAACTATAAAACTAATAATTGGTTTATGTCTGTCAGTTGAATATCACACAAATTGGTATAAATGAGTGTCTGGGCGAAGAGGGCCATCAATGCGAGTCAATGAGCTGTACGACAGACCACGTATTGGATGAGTTGAGCCCTATTCTCACAAATGGGAACTACACTTCTTTAGTGGGAATTAACTTAAAAACAAAAGCCGATTGTGTCTGCAATTACGATGAAAAGCGAGACAGAAAGGAGTCGTGCGCTGACCACCAGTGCCTTAATGGTGGCACTTGTGTTCAGTCAGACCATTCAAATTATGTCAGATGTGACTGTCCTCACGATATGGATGGGCCGGAGTGTCAGATGAGAAGTCGATCGTTCACTGGCCAGGGATGGCTTTGGTTGGAAGGCTTTTCCCAGTGCAGTGAATCGCATATTAGTCTACAATTCATGACACAAATGGCAAACGGACTCATCTTCTACTTCGGACCCATAGCCCCGCCATCAGAGAGCAATCGATTCCACAAAATAACCACTGATTTCATGTCTCTTGAGTTGAGAAACGGTGCGAAAACATAAAGAAATAAATATTTTTATAATTCATGAAAATAACTCTCATTATAGGAAGGGCTCGACTACTCTATGATTTCGGTTCGGGCGCTGAAGAACTTGTGGTTCAAAGTCCTCATCCGCTAAATAACGGCGAATGGCATACAATTGATATCATATTTGACACCCAATCCGTACGATTAATGATCGATCGGTGTATTGATAGTCTAATATATGATACAAAAGTTGTCAGAATTGATAGAAACCGCTGCGAAAACATGAGTTATATTCCCGCGTTTAATGAATTACTGAATGTGAATGCGCCCCTACAGATCGGAGGGGTATCTCATCATTCATTGGATAAGTACTACAATTGGCAATACCAACACACCACCATTGGATTCAATGGTTGCATCAAGAACATTGTTCACAACGGATTCCTATACGACATGAATAATGTTCCCCATTCTGTGAATACAGTGGTCGGATGTCCGACCGGTAATAGCACTCATATATCGCGTTATTAAGCATTTCTAATAACTTGATTCCTAACTTAACTTGATTAACTTTGTGTTTTGGTGACCAATAGGTGTTTCGACGTGTAATTTACTGTCCAAGTCGTGCGAAAACGGATTCTGCGAGGGCTCGTACAATATAGCCCGGTGTGTATGTAGGCCCGGGTGGCACGGATTCAATTGCCATCAGCCCACTCAGCCCAAGATGTTTAAAGCCAGAAGTTTTGTCAGATTGAGTCTGGCGTTTGACTTGAATCCATTCGCGACATCGATATCACTGCGATTTCGTAGCCGTCAATCGCACGCAGAACTGATCCGATTATCAAATAGAGATCGCAAACAGTACTGTCTCTTAGAAATCCGTGACTCCAAGATTAGATTCCGTTATAATATGAATCGTATGCACGGAATGGATGAGAAAGAATTGACACTCAATTGGGTTCATGTGAGCGATGGTCACTGGCATGACATACATATCACCCGATTTGGCGGATCAGCGATTATGGCGCTCGACGGCGGGGGTGTTCAGAGGATTACCACAGTTATGGACTTTAATAGTACGGATCAACTTCTAAACTATGACAGGAGTAGTCTTGTCGTTGGCGGTGATGTTCACTATCTGGGTGTTGGAGCCACTGTTGTGGACAATGACTTTGCTGATGGTTAGTATGTTTTTGCGTTACATTAAGAATAGACAAGAAGTGAATTATATATAATAAAAAAGTTTCTTTAGTTTAAAGGGTCTAATAATTTATTTATTCTGTGTTTATGTGTTTTCATTGAAAGGTTGTATTAATGACATACGCATTGATGGACACTATATATCGTTGGAGAACTCATCAGATATATCATCAATAGTGGAGGGAAGACATGTGATCGATGGATGTCTTTCCAACAATCCATGTCAGACCATCTCTTGTCAGCAGCCATTCGTTTGCATTGATTTATGGCTTAAGCATAAGTGCAGGTCTTGTCTCTTCGCATCATATTCTGTACACTAGTCTTAGGCAATCAAATGAAAAACAATATTTCATTCATTGAAACATAAGTTTAATGTCTTATTCATCGCACAAACAATTCTTTATGTCTTTCTTTCTTTCATTTTTATACACAAAATAGTTGTCCGAAAGGTTACAGAATGACAGCCGACGCCACCAATTGTACGAAAGATACTCAATGCGCGCGAAACGCCTGTAATGGCAAATGCGGCACTCATTCCGATGACCCGGCACTCAGCTACCAGTGCCAGTGTCCACACAATGACTGCACAGACTTGTCTGAAACCTACTTCAGGCTCAACACGACAGCCATCGCTGCTATTACTTTGTGTGCTATCAATATTCCGCGTAAGAGACCAACCATTCATCCATTTATTTGCTTTCTATTCACGCCATTCCTCTTATAATTGCAGTACTTTTTGTCATTATATTTGTTTATTCGCGATATAATCGGAGAGACCGTAAGAGACATAAGAAGTCTAATGATTCGACCGAAGATGATGTCAGAGAAAATATAGTCCGATATACCGATGAGGGTGGAGAGGATGACGTCAAAGCCTATGATATGACTTCACTTAGGATTCAAATAAGTGATGCAAATTGTATTGAAAAATATAATAAACACAACAATTACTCCAATCACAGTTAAGTCTAAATCATTTGAAATCAATTTATCAAGACAATTGAATAGAGTTTGTAAATATTCTGTGAAATTTGCATAATTATAAAGTACATTACTTATAATATTGGAATTAAAAATATGAATTTTTTATCTTATGTTTAGTTTCTGTCAAAATGATAGCACCGAACCATTTGGCGGATATAATCAGGGACCATTTGGATAAAAATGACTCCGAATGTATGGCTAACGACGAGCTCCACAAGTAATCATTCAATTTCATGTTGAAAATGCTAATATAACAGAATAAATAAAATATTCTGGTGGTTAAATAATTTTCACTATATAAAATGTCTAAATGTAGACTTCCGTCACCGTTATGATGGCCAAGGAACTCGAGATATAGATACCTATTTACAGTTCTTCTTATGTTAAATTACGTTAAGTTGTGTTAAGACAACAATAACTCTATCGGAACCATAACTCGTGTCAAACATATTGAAACTGGACTTCACTTTTAATTCAATCATTGATCAGTTTATTTCATACTTGTGTTTAAACTTAAGTACAACATTGAAGTCAAATAATAATAATTAATACAATAACTCAAACCAATTCCAATAATTTGAAAAATAACACAATTTTAAACATAAATCTTCTGAATAATGTGTTGTTTTCATTTCAAATCCTATAAAACTTGCCTTAAATTATCTGTGATATTACACTCAACTGTGATTTTAATATAAATTATATATTTTCGTATTACTGTAATGTAATTTCATTCAAATAATGACATGTAATAAATTTTTACTTTTAATAATGAATAAATGTAACCAATAAAAAGTCATAAAAGACAACTCATTTATTTTAGACTTCTCTCCAATCGTATGATTCCGTTGGAATCGATTGAGAATTGTTTCCTTTTGTCTGAATCCCTGTCTATTCGGTAACTAATGACAGAAAGTCCGCTCTGATCGGCATCTGTTGCGTGAAATTTGGTGACAATAGACCCGAGTTTTGTGTCTTCGCTGACATTCACTTCAATATTTGATTTCACAAATTGCGGTAAATTATCATTTATATCTCTTAAACGCACGTGAATTACACAATAGTCCGTATGATATGTATCACTGAAATTATATCCATTATCACTGACACCAACCGTTAAATTAATATTCCTTTGACTTAAGTCTTCATAATCTAATGGTTTAACAATTCTTAAGGAAGCGCTTGAATCGGAATTAGCAGTCAATGAGAAATGTTCATTAATTGGATTTTTACCAATTATTTTGAACATAAATTTATTTGATTCAAACAAATCTGCATCAGTCACTGTCACTATAAGAATAGGCATTTGTGGCACTAATAAGTCTTCGGTGTTGTTCCGCACATCCATTTCA